AAACCTCCCTAAACAACCAGCGGCTCCGGGCCGCCATCCGCCAGATGCAGCAGCTGCTGAAGGGGCAGGAGACGCGCTTCGCCGAGGGCATCCGCATGATGAAGAGCCGGCTGACCACGCTGCAGAACGCCGTGACCAAAGCTGCCCTGGACCCAGCTGCTGGTAAGGACACAGGCTGTCCGCGGTGTCTGTTCCAGCTTGAGTGGCTCGCCAGGCACCGTCCCCTGCCTAACCGCTCTGCCCCTGTCTGGGGACAAAACTAGGTGCATAGCCCATCCCTTCGTCCTTGGGCAGGGCTGCCCCCCGGAAGGGCACTGGGTAGCCCCACAGCTCAGACCTAGATCTCACCTTCGGCAGGGGTGCCATAGGAAGGCAGATTCTTGTGTATTTATTGAGCATCCCAGGCCCCAGCGTGCCTGCAGTTTGGCTGTGATCAACAGGAGCAAAGCCACAGCTGGGCTGTGGGTGGATGAAGCAGTGAGCACCATCCCTGCCATCCATCCCCACTTGTCACCCCCATCTCTGCCCCAGCTAGCTGCTGGTAATGTGTGGACGCTTTTCATGGGTGCAAATGATTTCCCCAAATGCCCAGCAGTGACTCCTCCAAGCATGAAAGAGGGAAGGGATGTTTCATGTGCAGAAAAGCAAGTCTGGGTCAGGTGGGTCTCCATCACTGCCACCTTTCTGGGAATGCTGTGTATCCATCTCCCTCTGCCTCCAGCCCCGTACTCACTGCTTGGTTCTTGGCCCCGGGAAGCACCTTGGGATCCTGTTGGTGGTGGTGGCTGTCTGTGCTGCTCAGCAAAACCACTACAAGTTATGGTCTGGGGTGGTTAGCAGTGCTGGCATGGATCTGGAGCTGTCTGTGGGGCAGGAAGAGAGGCCTGAAAGGGCAGCAGATAACTGTAACCTCCCTGTCTGGCCAGTTTTAGGCTGCCCATGCTGATGAATCAGCGCTAAACAGAGCAGACACTCCCTGGGCTCTGTGTAGAGTCTAGGGGAAGAGACGGGCCTGCCCAGAAAGGGGTTCACAAGATCCAAGTTAAGCTCCTGCTGGCTGAGCTGAGCAAAAGGGGATCTTCTGGTGGCCCTGAGCAGAGTTTGATCATGCACACGGTTCAGTTTGCAGCCAGTTTCCAGCCCTTTATAAAACACCTCCAGCTCTGATTTATAGAATCAGAGGATTACTGAGGAGGGCAGGGAGCTCTGGAGGTCTCTGGTGCAACCCCATGCTCAGAGCAAGGCCAAATAGGTCAGGTAGCCCAGGGCTGTGTCCAGCTGAGGTCTGGGCACCTCCAAGGATGGAGATCCCACGGCCTCCTTGGGCCCCTGTTCCTGTGTTTGGCCACCCTCATGGTGAAAATATTTTTCCTAATACCTACCTGGAGTTTTCCGTGTTACAGCTTGTGCCCACTGCCCCATGACCATCCACTGTGCACCTCGGAGAAGCATCTGGTTCCATCTCCTCTATAACTCCCCAACAGGCAGTGGCAGATGCAAAGGGATCCTTCCTTTGCCTTCCTTTCTCCAGGCTGACAAACCTGGGTCCCTCAGCCTCTCCTCCTACACCAGGTGCTCCAATCCCCAACCATGTGGGTGGCTTCCACTGAACTTGCTGTAGCACATTGATTTTTTTGTTGGTTTGGGGGGGTGGGGGGTGGGGAGGGACAGAATTGGACATAGTACTCCAGATGTGGCCTCACAAGCATGAACTGAGGGTCTTGCATCTGGCATCTGTAGCATCACCCTGGCTTTGCTCAGTTTGTAGCTTTACAGATGCTGGTGTGTATTCTTGTGTACCGGCAGATGAGCCTCTTCTTGCGCCAATTCAGATGAAGGCAGTTCTATCTCTTTTGGTAACAGGCACTGCTGCCAAGGGGTTCTGGGAAATGCTTCTTTCAAGGCTGGTATCCAGGAAGGTTGCTGGAGCTTGCTTTAAGCCTCTGAACCTGTGAAATGGAGATAATTCCTGAGGCAGAACTCTGCCTGGAAACTGGGCACTGGCTCTGGGCTAAGAGGCCTGGGAAAAGAGATGGTCCTGCATGCAGCTGGACCGTTGCTGCTATAGGACTGATGTGCACACACGCCAAATGCCACTTTTTTGTTGGGATGTGCCTTGACTCAGCCTCACTGAATTCTTATTCACGCAGAAGGCAAGGAGTAGGCCTTGGATGTTCATAATCATGCTCTGGTGGTACTGCATACAAAGGGAGATGTTTCCTGTTTGAGCAAAACGGGTTCAAAAACAGGTGAACTTTGAAACATCCACAGCAGAGAGTGCTTTAACCACTCTCTGGAGCAGAAGAGAGCTTAAGCAGAGTAACTGCTGAATTCCTCTCCTTTTCTGATAAATGCTTAGCTCAAATTCAAACACCCCTCCAGCCTAGTAAGATATGGGAAGACTCAAAAGTCCTTGTTCAAGCCACACAGTTAGCTGTGAAGCAGAGAGCACCTGGCATGCTACTGAGGAAGAGCAGGCTGAAAAATGGCATCTCCAGCGAAAGACCTAGTTTCTCTGCCTGGATCATGAAACCTGGATGGTCAGCAAAAATCCCTCCTAGAAGGTGGAGAAATACGGTGCTGCAAAGGTAGAGCTGTCTCAGCCTGGCCCAGGATCAGTTCAGGCAGTTTTAGGAAATGTCATTTATGCAGTTGAGCAAAGGAGTCTCCTCTTGCATGGGAAACGAAGACATCTCTAGGGAACAAGATTGGTGTGTGGTGAAAGGCTGTGTTGTTTAACAGCAGCCAACAGCTGTGATGACTGTGCAAGGCTCATACATGAGACTGGGAGGATGAGGTATGGTGCACCATGGGGCTCCTGGAGCACCAGCCAGGTTGTGGCAATGGCACCTTTGCAGTGTGGTGAGGAGCAAACCCCCCTCTCCCTGCTCCTTCACGGGCTGGCGCAACTCTTTGATCTTCAAAGGATTGTGTGGATTCATGGAGAGCAGGTCCACAAGGGGGTGGGTAGGTAAAGGGACCAAGAACGGCTGCTCGCTTGCGCCACCTGAACTGCCACAGGGCTGCTCAGCCCTGTGCATCTCTTCTTGGCTGTCTTTTCAGAGTTGGATGTTACTGATTAACTTCTGTGTATATCTGGAAAATAACAGAAGCAGCTGTTAAAGAGGAGATCTAGTCTTGCACACCGGAGGAACTGGGTGAACTGCAGCTCAGGTGAAGTTGGGGACAGTCAAGATAAGTCGGCCTTATCTGAGAGCACTGACTGAACATTGCATGGGTTGTTTTCTACTGTATTTGAATGTCAAATAAATTGTGTTTCCGTGCCATGACTCTAATAAAATAATTGGGCAGAAGAGCAAATATTGGTCAGCTATGGACACCGGGCCCATTCTTTGTGTTTGCTTGGTTCCTTCCCAAGAACTTGTAAAACTTGCACCTGTAACACCAATTTCCTTATTCAATAACAGGCCTTCTAGACTGAGGTAGTGATCGTGAACCCAGCAGGTTCGCAGGGACTCTCCCCGCCCAGTTAGGTGCTGGGATGGCAGGGCAGGTGGAAAGGGACCAGAGCCCAGGGGGCATAGGAGAGCTGTCAAATGCCAGGGCCCTTCCACTAAAGAAGAACAAGCTAAACCTGAGTAAGCCAGGTGGAAAGCCAGGAGTGTCATGCTTTCCCTGTTAAACTGATTTAAACCCTGCCCCCTGCTTCTTCCTTCTCCTCCTCTTCTGTGCTGAGAGCAGGGACTGTGGCCAGCCAAGGTACAAGGGCTGTGGCCAGCTCTGCTGTGGCCCTGCTTTCCCCTTCTTTGCACGTGCATTGGTGTTTCCCTGGGTTCCCCCCAAGGAATTGTGCTTGAGGCTGAATTGGGAATGACGTTTAAAGGGCCATTCGTGAATCTGGTGCTGCCTAGGTATCAGCACGTTGCCCTTGCCCCCCTAGGCAACCATCTCTTAGCAGGGTAACTTTGCAGGTGGTTTTGGGATTGGTGATGGTAAACGTTCCAGCTTTTAGAAGGCTAGTCCACCAAAGTTTTTATGGATAGAGAGGAAATCCAGCTCTGAACGTGTCAGAAGGCGAATGCAGAGTGCATGGGTAGATTATTAGCACATAAATGGTTCTCACTGCAGGCTGAGGGGTTGCTCAGACCGAGAGTATTTGGTCAAGCCCTCCCTCTGCAGGGATGCCATCTGGGAGGCTACTGTGGAAGTTGTTCTCTGGAGATATTTCAGCTGTGTGTTACTGTTATGACAGAGATCCCAGCTCCGCTCAGTGAGCGACCACCAGCATGAAGGACGCAAGTAATTCTGCATGCAGTTTGGTTGCCTGCTTTGACAGCAGAGTAGTCCCTGTGAAATAAGGTGTGTTTGCAAACAGGCAAAAGCTTTGCCTCCTCTGCTTTGGTTTATTCTCTCAAAAGCTTGCCTCCTGCAGCATGCATTTTGAGGTCAGATGGTGGTGCGCTGGGTCCACCTGAGCAGCACCGTATTGCTGCCCCTTCCAACTCCTGGATCAGAACTTGTTTTCTGTGTATGAGGCTACCGGTGCTGGTTGTCTCCACATGTCACCAAATGAGGCATCTTATCTCTCTGCTTTAGGAACCGTGCTCTATTTTCCCCTGTGTGCTTAGGTGCCATCCTTCAGTGGGCTAGGAAGCGAGGGAGCAGCTTCTCTAATCCTACTTGCTCCCCTTTGTCTCCCCAGAAGCACCTACCTGAATATTTAACCCCTCATGCTCCCCATGGTGCCTTTGCAGTGTCCTGCCCTGCCCTACAAGCTCCCGTGGATGGACAGAAGTTTGGTACGAAGTATTTGGTGGATCATGAAATCCACTTCACCTGCAACCCGGGCTTTGAGCTCCTGGGTTCCAGCACACGGATGTGCCAGGCAAACGGCAGCTGGACTGGAGAGGAACCTCAATGCAAAGGTACATTCTTTTTTAATCTGAGGGTGGGAAACCTCATCACCACACAGCTCCTGAAGTAGCGAGCACGCGTATCTGCAGAGGAGGGGGAAAGAGGGTCGCTTTTGGGAGTTGATCTGCTACGTGTTTTTCAGCCAGTTCTTAGCATCCTGTGTGCTCACCAGTAACACTGGGAATACTGGGAATCTGGCACCTACCTCCACAGCATTCAGGTCTTTGTGCTGCAGACCTTAAACACCAGTGGCCTGGGAATGGGAAACACCATTGCTTGCCTTCTGTTCTCAGCAGGTTTTATGAGACCCACCATTTGCTGCTGAGCTTTGGTCTGCACCACTCTAAAAGTCATTCAGCATCTGCCTGCCTTTTGTATGGAGTGTATTTTGAGTGCTGGTAATAGGAGATGCTGCCCTGTGCATCATATTTCCAGACAAGCACAGGATGCTTCACAGCCCAGACAATGACTGTCCCATCTGTCTTCTCTTGAATTGGAATGTTTTTCACTTTTAGTGCGGAGAGCTGATGATCTGAGCATGAAACAAAGCTCCAATAGACAACTTATTTCATAATAAAAATCAGTGCCTAGAAGTGGCTGGCTCAGCCCATTATAATAACTCCTTTCAAATGCCTGGCTGGAAAGCTGCCTTCCCATCAGTGTGTGACAGGTTCAAACTGGCAAACAAGAATGCTGGATATAATTGCCTCTGCTAAAAATATTTCCTGGGGAAAAAATAAGTATGTTGGTTAGCAGCCATTTGGGTTAGTGCATCTGCACAGAAAAGGGTGAGATGGTCTTGTTTAACAGCGTGTTTTCCAAAATGACTAGACGGATTGAAACTGAAGTGTCACCTACAACATGTGCTATGCGCTGTCATGCATTTGGGTCCAAGGCAGTATGCCTGGGTCCTAATGCAGGCTCCATACAGCCATGGGTATAGCCTTTTGTCCCATCCTTCCCAGGGTGATGATAAAGTATGAGAAATCTTCCCAGATAAGCTTCTACTTGTGGCATCCATTACTGCAACCAGCAACGAGACAGGCATTTTATTGCAAGGTACCGCTTGTTCTCAGGCAGGACATCTTTGGGACAGGAGAGTCCCTGTTGAACAGGGATCCTCTATAGCCGTTTGCCCAGATCTTTCCATGGCAGCTGTTTGTCATGTCCAGCAGCGAGAGCAGGATACTATTTTGGCAAGAGGGATTCCTGGGATCCATCAAACAGGTAGGTACTTCTGTTGTGCCTGAGCTACTAGTGATAAGCTCTGGGCAGGGGGTGAAATGCAGAGACTGTAAGGTCTTATGTCCTTGGCCCATTCTCCCTATCCCTATACTAGGTTTCACCTTTTGGCTTCTCCTGCCCTCTAACTTCCCAGTCAAACAAAGTCTTCCGATAATTGGTGTAGTTCTCAAAGCTCCAGCTCCAAGGGCCTGTTATTTTATGGGGTCGTCTCTCCAACCACAGTTCTGGAGAAAAGCTAGAAATTGCAGCTGAAGGCTAACCTAGAAGCTCAGCAACCAGAGATGAGGGGGAGAAAAGGGCATCAATTAATTCTCCCTTCTAAGGTGGGGAGTCATTGTTTTTAGAACAACTTGATGAGTTTTTAGCCCTTGGAAAGGGCAGGGCTGCTTGAAAACACCTTTTGAAAACAAAGCCAAACCCACTTTCTTGTGCTTTGAGATCAGATGGGATTGTAGCAAAGAGCAGATATCTTGTAATGGTTTTTCTCAGAGATTGCTCTCTGCAATCAGTCAGCACCTTGTGCTCCCAGCATCTATGATGAGCCACAGATGAAGCAAGGGGCGTGTGGAGGTGAATGTTTGAGGTAGCTCTTGCTGAAATATTGGCAGTGGGTTGTGTACCGCCCCCCCAAAAGGAGAAATCAGTACCTGCAGCCTGTCATTCATGGGCCGCTGTTCTTTGTCCCCTTGGCAAGGAGGGTCATGATTATCTCCAGTGAGCCACTGTCTGTCTGACGAGCATTACAGCTGCTTCCACTTGATGGAGGTGAGCCTTGCAAAGACCTCCTATTCTGCTAACCAGGGAAGAAAGTCCCGTGCTAGGTAGGTGTCCCATGATGCCAGTGCCCTACATAAACAGCTCTGTGTTCAGGCTCACCTCCAAGGGATGTGACAGAAAAATGCTCTGCTAAGGTCAGAGTGAAGGTGTGAAACAACACCTCTTGCAAGCCTAAATAAATCATCCAGGTAACAAACTCGTGAAAGGGACCCGGGCTTAATTGGATGGCCCCAGCACTGATAGCTGTCTTCTCTAGTCATGACGAAATGCACTGATTTTTTGCAAGCCGTTACACCAAACCATATGCACGCATTGTGGACTGGTAACAGAACTAGCAGGCAAAGAAGTTAAACACTCAAATCATCATATTCGACTTGCACTGGGGCAGTGTTACATCCAAAACAAAAGCCCGTGTCAGAGTTTGGTGCCTGCGGGCTGCATTGTGCTGTTTGCTCTACTCGGTGCCCAGGTATGGGTATGACCTTTCCTGTTTGCCATCTCCTTCCTTGTTGTAAATACTCCCCTCCGTTTCCCATCCCCAATGCGGGCATGGGCCCCCAGGTGTTTGCAGGGCTGCCTGGGTGAATTCCCCCTGGGGGCTGAGCACTCACGCCACCGTTCTCCCATAGCACGGTGACTTCCTGCAACGAAAGCATCTTGGGAGATTATCTCCATCTCCCAGACACGCTGATGGTCTGGACTTGGAGGAGGAGGAGAAGAATAGGAAAAGCTGGGGATAAGGGCTGGGAGCCATCAATCCTCTGGGCTTGCTATAGCACCGAGGAAGAAAGGCTTCTTTATGAGGCTGTCGGGACGACGAACACTTGGCTGCAAAACCCTTTGCGACCTTCCCTCAAGGAATTCTTGAGCATGTCATGGCCTCCCAGCTCTTGTGCCCGAGCCAAGGGAGCTGTGTCTTGCCAGCAGCAAGTCCAAGGCTGGAGGAGGTAGAGGGGGGCAATGCTCTTTGACTTCTCATTCAGTAACTTCACGGTCCATTGAGCCCAGGGTATTTGGGGTATGCTATTGATGACACACCAGCCCGGCTTGTGGCACATGCTGGGGTTTGCTCCTGTGCGGCCTTCACAGCCTGTTTCTCTGCATTTTCTCTGATATCTTATGGGGAATACAGAGTTTGAACAGTGTAAAGTTGCTTTGACTTGGATTCCCAGAGAAGCCTGCCCAGCCTGTCCCCGAAGAGGGCTCGGGTTTGTCTTCCCACTGGGAAGAGTCCCTCCTCTGAGGGACTGGAGATGCTCCCACCTCTCCAAGCCCATGGAAGCACCAGCTCTAGCTTGAAACAACACGGACAGGCAGGTCAAGCGCCCCTGCCATGAGCTGCCCCTCTGAGCGCAGATGCTGGGTTGCTTCTACAAAACACAATCAGAGGGAGAGGTGTCCTGCCTTACTAATTCTCCAGAGGTGATGGTGCCACCCGTAGCCCATGGAGACCAATCCTTTCCCCTCTCCGAGACCTGCTTCTCCCAGCTGAGTGCCAAACTCACCAGGCTGGGGTGAGCAGCATCGAGGATTTCTTGACCTCTTCTGCTTTATCTAAATCATTCCGATATTTGTCCAAGCCATCCCTCGCTGCTCAGACGAGAGGCGCTCCCAGGGCTGGCTTCTAAAAAGATGTGGCTTTTTCTCATGGCAGGTATCAGCAAGTGCTCTAGTCACCCATGCCAGAATGGCGGGACATGTGTGGAAGGGCTGGACCACTACGAGTGCCTCTGCCCACAGGAGTGGACTGGAGCGAACTGCCAGTACCAAACGCAGACGGGTGCGTAAGCCGCTTCGCCGGGGAAGCGGCGGGGAGTGAAGCGCGGAGGTGTGTCACCCGGGGCATCTTCCCCTTGGGCGCAACCCTTTGGTGCTGTTTTGCCCCGTGGTGAGGTTTCAAGGCCTCCACCCTGCTGTCCTAGCTCCGAGGCTGTCCTGCCTCTTCGCATGCAGCAGCTTCCCCAGTCGTGAGGCCAAAAAGCACCCAAGATCAATGCTGGCTTTGCGGGGCCTGGAAGGCAAAGGGGGATTTGAATTGGGGCACCCAGAGGAGCAGGAACTGAGGTGAAAGCTCATGCGGATTACAAACAAAAAAAATGTAAGGTCTCACTCTTAAAAACGCCCTCCTGGCACGTTTTGGCCCCAAATCTCATTTCAAACCCAGTCCCCCGTGCCAAGGCCGCTTGCACGCAGGAGGCTTAGCATCGCGGGCAAGCTGGCGCTTGCTGGCGTGCCCTGGGTGGGGGCAGAGCTGTCCCTTTTCCCCAAACCCAGTCCCCCGTGCCAAGGCCGCTTGCACGCAGGAGGCTTAGCATCGCGGGCAAGCTGGCGCTTGCTGGCGTGCCCTGGGTGGGTGCAGAGCTGTCCCTTTTCCCCCCAGCGCCCCCGACCCAGAGCGTCACCAACGACCCCGCCTTCAGCCGCAAGCCCCGGTGCGCCAAGACCGACCGGACCCAGCACTGCAGCTGCGAGGCGGGTTTCCACATGAGCGGCACGGTGGACAACGGCATGTGCCAGGGTAAGCAAGCGGTGGAGCGCGGGGACGTCGTCATGCTGGGGACGGCTGTGGGCTGCTCACCCCGAGCGTGGCACGGTTGCCTTTTCTCCCTGCAGACATCGACGAGTGCGAGGTCTACAAGCTGGAGGGGGCCCCTCGCCTCTGCATGCACGCCTGCATCAACGTCCCCGGCTCCTATCGCTGCGCCTGCCCTCGCGGCTACAACCTCCTCGGCGATGGGAAAAGCTGCGAAGGTGAGGTCCCCCACGAATCTCACTCTGTTTTCATAGGCAAGTTATTTTTCCCTACCTCCACATCCAGCCTAGAAAAACACAGCAGTTAAAACACTGGTAAACGCACCCAACGCTTTGGGGCGGACGTTGATGAAGAGCATGAGCACCATCACCGTCATGGATCTGTCCCATCAAAGCGCTCCTAGGATGCTCTCTGAGGCAGCAGACGAATACGCAATTTAAAATGAACGCTGAGAATTAGACTTGAGAGGTCAGTTCAGAGGCTGACCGCGACTCTTCCTAAAACAGGAGAGTCAAGGCGCAGATTAAAAACAAAACGGCAGCAGGCAGACGTGGTGGCCAGAATCGTTTACATAGAAGTATTCTGCTGAAAAACAGTTCTTGTGCTGTAAAAATGGCGAGTACTGCCCAAAAGGCAGCTCACATGGAAAAAAAGCTCGTGCTTTCTCTTTTATAAGTGGTTACCACAGTTACTGCACGGTTCGATAGCATCTTGGTGATGCTTCCAACAAATATCTTCATTAAAAGGTCTTAATTTTATTTATAGATAGGTAAATACATTTAGGGTGTTTGCATATTTAGTAAACAAAAAGACAATGTGTTTCGAACTTAGCCAAAAGTTAGGAAAGTAGGCTGTCCTCCCTCTGCCGCGGCTTTTCCTTGAACTCTGCTGTTCACCTTGGCCAGCCCTGGGACAGTTAACCAGGCAGAAGCAGGGGGAAAGGGATGGGACAGAGAGAAGGAGGAGCTGGAGAAGGTGGTTTAAGTATTTTCAGCAAGAGTCAGTTATTTTAATCTGATTTGGTCTGGTTGCTTCACAGACATCGATGAATGCGCTCTGTCCCAGCATAACTGCACAGGGGGGACCACGTGCATCAACACGGGAGGGGGCTTTCAGTGCGTCAGCTCCGAGTGCCCCCAGTCCAGGGGCAACGTCAGCTACGTGAAAACATCGCCCTTGTGAGTATAACGGGAAGAGGAGTGGATCTTTGATACTGTTTGGGCATGATGTGAAACCTGGGCCATCGCATGCCGCATCTTTAGGTCTGGGAGCTTTGGTTTGAGCATCCTCGTGCCTCTTGGGGCTCACCTCAAACTTGTTTCTCCCTTTCCTTATCAGCCAGTGTGAACGCAACCCCTGCCCAATGGACAGCAGAGCCTGCCACCACGCACCCAAAACCATCTCTTTCCACTACCTCCCCCTGCCGTCCAACCTGATAACTCCCACCCCTCTCTTCCGCATGGCGACTGCCTCTGCCCCCGGCCGGCCGGGGCCAGACAGCCTGCGCTTTGGGATCGTGGGAGGCAACAACAGAGGGCACTTCGTGATGCAGCGGTCAGACAGGCAGACCGGCGAGCTGATCCTCGTGCAAAGCCTGAAGGGCCCCCAGACAATAGAAGTGGACGTGGACATGTCTGAGTACCTGGACCGTGCTTTCCAGGCAAAGCACGTGTCCAAAATCACAGTCTTTGTGTCTGCCTATGAGTTCTAGACCAGGCAGCGGGTGCCAGCCTGAAAGCCAGTGGCTCCCGGCTGGCTCTGCCCATCCACCATCCCCTCCCAGCACTCGTGACAATGAAATGGACTGCTTTCATCACCCGATAACCACCTGTGCCCTGGGACAGCACCTGCAAACAGTGAGAGGCTACAGCACTGTAACCACACAGAGAAGAATAACCTTCAAAGCCCAGACCAAAGAGATGAGGGTTCCCAAGGCGATTCTGCCGTTTGGACAATCTCATAAGCCTATCCTTTCTCCTAATGATGTTCTCTTTTCAGCATCTTCTGCAGCTCTCACAGCCAAAAGGGCTAACCCTGGAAGCAGATGTGTAACAGGGAAGCTCCAGATGGTAGCACATGCAGAAGCCTGTCTGCAGTTAACCGTCTTCTCCTCTGGGTTAAGGTTGTTTTGTCTGAGTCTCCAGGCTGGTTTTACGCCCACATACATGAAAAACAGCGAATGAAGTGCAAAAAAAAATCATGTGCTCTCCAACAGCAAGCAGCTGTTCCACTGCGGGAACCTGGCGAACCCTGGGGTGGGAATAGCAATGGGCTATCCGCTTACTGGGACACAAGAGAAATATGTACTCACCAGAGGAAGTGTACCACGTGGCCTGTGCCAAGCAGGATTTTATTCTCTTCCAAGGCTCACAGAGGTGTCCCGTAGCCTTTGTGCCTTCATAGTGCAGAAAACAGTGGACGGAAATTAGGGCCCTTATGTTCTTTTAGTACTTCCTTCTGAAAAGCAGTTTAGTTGGTGCAGGCAAGAGGAGAAAGGAGATAGCACAGTAGAGCTCAGTCCTAGTGGCTACTACTCTTCATCAAGCTGGCCCAGGCTTGTTCGTACTGACCACAGCCTAACAAAAGCATGACTATGCTTCCATTCAAACACTGAAAAAACCTGCATCAGCCTATGGGGTGTTCCAGGTGCTTCAACAAAGTGAGGTGGTTCAGTTTCCCCTAGAATAGACCCGGACTGCAACAATCCCCATCTGGTCTTACAGCCCACAGCTAAGATCTCAGCATTGCATAGTGCTCAGGACACTGGAGATGGTACCCAGTGAGCCGTAAGACAAAATGCTGACAGAATGTGTTTAGTATAAAGCATATTGCACTTGTAGCCCTCAACGCATATAACAAACTCAAGAGGTCAAAATCCATTCCAGCCTTTGCTCACAGACTATTTTTTAAACAGCAGTTTTGGAGTGAAACTGCAAAAAAATTTAGTTGTTTTCATGCCATGGATAGAGGGAAGCGTGTGTTATCTTACAGCTCTTGAAACAAATCCTTTTTTTTGTTTTTTAAATAAAATCAAGGCATAACTTTGGGGGTCAGTTATCCTGAGGAGTCACTGGAGATGCATGGGGAGGACTTTATCTGGTGGATTTGTACAGAAATAGCTGGTGAGAAGTTGCACTTCTTAACTCCTCTTTCATCATGATGGTCCATGACCTTATCGTGCCTATGATAATACATCTTACAATGCACCTAACTGGCTCTTGGTACAGTCTTCAGCAAGAGGGACACCACTGTCAGGCAAAGAAGGGACTCCCAGACAGTCTGGACTTGAGTGAGCAGTTGATATAACCACATGTGAGAAACTGTGGAACTGGAAAAAGTAGTAATTGGTGAAAGCATTGTGAGGACCTAGGGAGACAGAGCAGTGAGTAACACTGAGAAGGATCAGTTGCAAGAAGGTGGCCTCCCAACCCCTTCACGCTCTCCAGCCTGTGGGACCGAGTCCTGACTGATTTTTGGTGCATTGTGAGCATGCCACACACAGGAAGAGAAGAGCAAATGTTACCTGACTGTCAGGAACGGGGGGGACTCCCCGGAGCTGCTCCCAGTTGCGTGTTGTTTGGCCAAGCTGGATTTAAGAGGTGCGTCTCCTCTCCTAGATACTCATCTATAACTTAACATAGATTTGCCCCTCCTACCCTGATCCTGCTGGGAAAGACCGTGGGAAGACCGTGAATATCTGGCAAACGCTGCTGCCCTGGAAGAAAGAAAAACTTGAATGTCTTGAAGTTGCCACCCGGGAAGGACACCATCTTCCTGAGTTCAGGGACTTCTCTGAGCTCCTAAAAGCCAATGGTGGAACTGGGCCTTTGTGGCATGGCCACAAATTCCCTTTGCTTGTTAAAAGACGACATCTGGCTAGTTACTGCGTGGAGGCTGTCTGTACTCAATAGCATATGAGCGATGGGATTTACTGCGGATGTTATATGTCTCTGATCCTTCTAGTAACATTGTCCCCTCCTTAATCAGGCCATATATTAAGGACACTAAACGATTCAGCTGTTTCTGGCTTTCAGAGCTGCCCAGCCTTTCTAGTCTGATCCAGAAGGGGAGAGGTGCAAGAAGCAAACTGCATGTTCTCTGGGAATTGCATACGTCTGCACTAAACCCCATGTGTCTACTCACCCCACCTAACCTCTAACAACCAGGTTTGGTGTGCCCTCAGCCAGCAAAGAGTGGCCAAGGATGCCAGGACCGGAAAGCACCAGTTCAATAGGTGCTCTGTGCAGCGGAGAGCCTTTTGTCTCGGTGCTTTTGGAAGTGGTTGACCTGAGCGCTGTTCTCACCCCAAAGCCATATGCAAGCGGACAGCACAATGTGCTGGTCTCCTTCAAGTGACTTAAGCAGCTCCTGCCCCATGAAGTAGTTGGCCGTGATGCCAAGCACTGCAGGACGGCCCAGTCTTCCCCTGAGTTTCCTTTGCACAGCAATGGGGTAAGAGCTGGGCTACGGCCGCTTCCCATGTCTCAGCTGAAGGGCAGCAGCTCCTTAAACCTCTTGAATGCGGTCACACACATTCATCCACCCAAGATCGCAGGGAAGGCCTCCGTAAGGTTGTATAAATGTGCCATGCAGTAAGCAGAGGGGCGCTATTTTAGCTGCGTTTGGTACTCACGTTGAGGAAACTCAAGGTGTGAATATTTCACTTTTAATAAACCACTGCCTCCACTGTCAGTTACGTTTAAGCAGCTCTAGGAAGTAATAGCTCAGATTCAGCAGTTCAGCTTCTGTTCTTTGCATGTGTGGATATAACAACACATGCACGCGGGGAGGCACCTCTGTCTATCACCCCTTGCATCCTTAGGTACCCATTCCTCAAGTGCAGAGCTTGTGCATGTTAACCACAAAACCACAACGTTATGCATGTTTCTTTACTATGATGGTTTTAATACAATTAAATGATATAGTCTTTCAGCAGGTGCAGAACAGAATAAAGTACTTCACGCATCTGCGGTTTGCTCCTGCTCCCTGTGTGGCTGAGAAAGCAACATGCAGCAGGGTTTTGCAGCAAGAGGGACTGCTCTCCTCCAGAACAGCCTGGGAGGCAGGACCCTCCTGTTCTTGGAGGGAGGTAGGGGTTGGGTTGAGGGGGATGGCTTTGCCTTGGTTATTTTCAATTTCACTGCTTTATGTTATTTGGAAGGGGGCTGCGGTTGTGGTTTTTGTGAGCTAAGCTGATAAGTGGCGGCTTTGCTGTAAATAGGGGGCCAGGTGAGCTCCCTCTGAGCTATGACTCTGGCTCCAAGAAGAGATTAGCCTGGCAGCTGCCTACAGGAGCTCTGACTAGAATAGAGGGGGTTTCAGACTGGGAGGCTTTAGGATGACTGCTCCGCCGGGACTGCAACTGGTAAGAAGGTCTGGGCTTGAACAAGACCAGTTTCTTAGGTTGCTCTTTGGCTTGAGCTTGCCCCTGTCCCTCTAGAGCCAAAGAGAGAGGTATTTGCAGCCAGTCATTTGCCTGGCCTTCTCTGGGGAAAGACAGCTGGGCAGAGAGCTCCTGTGACCTGCAGGGTTGATGCAGTGTGTGCACTGAATTTGGGGGTTCTCAGCTGATTGCTGCTCTGAAGGAGTGGGTGAGAAGGGTCCCTGCCCTGGGGAACTGCCATGGAGGAGAAACAAGAGGCTGGAAGGCCCTTGAGCTGAGAGCCTGCAGCTCAGGAGGAGGCCAAGGGACAGCAGTGAGGAGCTGGAGGCTGCTCTATACCCAGGCCTGTGCTGTGGTGGTCAGGACTTCCTAGAAAGCAACAAGGAAGTTGCAGATTGCAGTAAATTCCTGGTCAAACAGCCCCAGATTTCAGGCAGAAAAGCGGGGTCACACAGGAGAAGGGACTTGTTCCAACAGCAAAGCCACATTCCTGAAGGAAAATTCCCTGGCACCAAACCAAACCCACAGCACAAGTAAGCACAAGGGCCGCACCATCGCTAAAATAACGTGGGTGCTTCCTTCGTGTGGAGAATTCGGCCCTCTCGCCTAGACAGATCAAGGGTACCAAACATAACAGGGTAGAGCAGAACTGCCACGATTACAGGTCGTTGCAATAAGACAGATGCTCAGCCACCAAAACAGATGTGTTTTTGTTTCTGTGCATCTGCAGCGTGGCACTAATATAAGATTTTTTCATCTAACATATTCTCTGGTCTGGGATATGTTCCCATCTACTGGAAGCATTTTTCTGATGGTGTGGGTTAGGATAAATGGTTTTAACAGCTCTCCATCCATCTGTGAGATGAGGAAAATACTACTTTGCCCTTTGGGTGAGTCACTTTCTGCTGTCTATAAACGAATGAGCTTTCTAGAGGCTAAAAGGCAAAATGCTGAAGCTATGGAACCGAAGTCCACCTTTTTCCTGCTAGGGGTTTTTATCCAGCCTCTGTATGCACAGCTGAGCCTGAGAGGACTCCAGCAGGAACCGGTCAAGAGCGCAAGTCCTGAGCGGGTCTCTGCTTCAAGGAGACACCAACGAGGTCCTTCAGACATCAGGAAGGGGGTCCCG